TCATAAACAAGGCCCGACTAGTTGCACAAGTTTACAGTCAATAATAAGGTATTGACTATAACAAAACCTTTACCCCATTCTCCGGGTTCAAATCTATTCATCTTCTAATCTCTTTTATTGTTGATAATAATATAATTCTATATCAAATGGATGTCAAAAGTGAGTTTCTAAATGGATATATTTCTGAAGAAGTATATGTACGCCAACCTCTTGGTTTTGAGAAGTCTGAACTACCAGAACATGCTTTTAAACTTAAAAAAATCCTTGTACGGTCTTAAACAGGCTCCTAGAGCTTGGTATGAAATACTTAGCTCTTTTCTGGTGGAAATGGTTTCTCAACAGGGCAAGTGGACACTACTCTCTTCTGTAAAAAAATTGGAAATGATCTTATGATATGTCAAATCTACGTAGACAATATAATTTTTGGTTATGCTAATTCCTCTATTTGCAAAGAATTTTCTGAGCTAATGCAGGTAGAATTCGAAATGAGCTTAATGCAAGAATTGAAGTATTTCCTAGGAATTCAAATTCATCAAACCTCAAAAGCTACCTATATTCATCAAAACATATATACAAAAGTATTTCCTGGATGAAGAATTAACTGGAGGATTTTCAGATCTGTGAAAATGGCATTCCCATTTACTGTGATAACACTGCTGCTATTTGTCTCAGTAAGAATCCTATCCTATACTCCAGAGCTAAACACATACAAATTAAACATCATTTTATTAGAGATTATGTTCAGAAAGGGACCCTCGTTTTGAAATTCATAGAAACAAACCATCAATGGACGGATATCTTTACAAAACCCTTAGCTGAAGATAGATTTGTGTTCATTCTGAAGAACTTAAACTTGGTATTTTGTCCAGAATGAATAATTTCTACTGTTTAACTTGATTAATAATTCCTTTCACTAATACTTCTATGATTTAGAAGATGTCTGTGTCAGAAATATCTCAATATTAGCAAAATCTTTTTGAGATCATTAAGATTGGTTTTCAACAACCAGTTAAATTTTGAAAAGACGCTTGTCAAATTCAAGATCTTAACTAAAACTATTGGAAATACTTTGAGCAACAAAATATTTCTTGACAATAGGTTAAAATTCTTCATGTTTCATCCCTATTTTTGAATATGTCAAAACCTATTTTATTATTAAGCACACAATACATATTCTCATGTCTTAATTGTCATCTTGTTTCAATTTTTAAAAAAATGACAGTCATCTCTGTTTCTTTCCTTTTCAAGCCAATTCATTCATTTCTTTTTACAATCACGTTTTCTCTCTTATATTCACTCACATCCCTCATTTTTTTACCTCACTTCACAATCAAGAAAACTTGAAAATTTTAAAATAACTTCTTTGTTTGTTCTGTTATGTTTTCATTGTCATATCTTTGTCATCAAATGAAAAGTGTCTCGTATGTGCTTAAAAAGTTTTAGGGTTTAATATCCTTTTGATTATGACAGAAAAGGGGAGAAAGTAGTGATGATTTTGATACATATTTATATCTCTATATCTCATTTCGTACATTTCTAACAAATATATATGCAGAAACTTTTAGAAACGTGTTTCGGGTACAAGGTATATGAATTAAGAACTTCTAAAGTTGAGAAGGTTCAATAAATCAAGCTTTGATAAAAAAATAACTTCTAATGTTTGGAAGGGTCTGCTGATCAAACTCTGATAAAATAAATTCTAGGGTATAGAATTTTTTGAGAGATTGAGTTTTGATAACGAACTTCAAACATAAAAAAGGGTCTAATAGATCAAGCGATGGAGATGAACCTATATGATAATTAAAAAGTTCTAATGAAGAAAGAATGTCTGATAAAGCAAACTTTGATAATCCACTTCCATTCACTTTAAATCAAAATTCTAAGAAAGGATAACAATGCTCCTAAAACTATGAAAGATCATAAGTTTATGATTCAGTGGGAGATTGATTATCTCAGGGGGAGTTTCCAAATCAGAGCGAGTTTTCTAAACTCTTATATTACTTTGTTTATGATTTAACTCTGTAAAATTGTTCTATCAAAATACATGGTTTTTTCATCATAAAAAAGGGGGAGATTGTTAGAACAAGATTTGTGTCTACAATATAATCTCGATGTTTTGATGATAACAACACATATATTTGATGAGAAACAATTTTAGTTCTAATAAGTTTCTTGAGTGTGCAGATAAGAAATTCTAATTAATTCAGAATTATTGTCTGGAGAATCAAAAATACGTCAAGCACATCAGAAAGACTGCTCACATCCACTTCTGATGAAACATGAGTAGTTCAGAAGAATGTTAAATGTTTGCTAGAAATAGGATCACATGTGTACTTCCCAATAAGTTGCTGCTTTGGAAGTCACATTCAAAAGAAGAAAGAATTTCTGACAAGCTGCCACTTTGTGATCAGAAACTAGATTGTACAAGAACTCAAGCTTTCAACGTAAAGTTCAGAAGTCAAGATTTATTCATCAGAAGATTTGTTGTTCATATCTCTGAAAACAAATTCAAGATTCTAAATAATCAGATAGTTCATGAAATACGCACTTCTATTCACCATCAGAAGTATTTCATCATAGAGAAAAAATTCATTATCAGACACCAAAATGTAGCTTACTTAAGTTGTTGCTTTCAACTCAATACAAAGATCAGACTTCAAGAGATCAGAAAGAAAAGAACTCAACATCAAAATCAGATGTACTGCTATAAGCTTCTGCTCCAGAAATCACACATCAGATATGCAGCTCAGAAATGTTGATTATCAAGAATCAAGGATCAATCCAAGAAGTCAAGATCAGAAAAGCTTTTGCTCAAAGAAGACATTGTTCATCAGATAAATTGTTTCTTATATATCTAAAGACAATATTCAACTATATGAAAGACTCTAACTTTACAACAATGAAATATCTTCTGGATCATTTTCATCATCATAGCAAAGTCAATCCAGCAAGAACAAAAGAAGACAAAGACAATAACAAGAGATATCTTCCAAGCTTACTACTTCAAGCTAGAAGTAAACCATTAGAAGATAATGTCTTAAGAAACTTAGCCATGAAGAATATAGTACAATCAATACATTTAAAATTCCACTACATGCTTATATATTGAACTATGTTGTCTCCCACGATGAAATGCTACCATTACTATAACTGGCAAGTGAAAGTGACATCTTTGTACTTCCAACGGTCTAATTCTCAAAGTCTATATAAAGAGACCTCATCAGCATTTGAAGATGGATGAAAAACTCTACACAACCAATCTTGAATCAAATTACTGTGAAACATCAAGAGAAAAGAAGAATAACTATTCATATACATCCATAAATATTCTTCTAGAGTAATATCAAGAAAACAAGAGTTATTGCTCATTATTGTGTTAAGATATTAGGGATTAAACACAAAGAGTTGTTGCTCATCATTTGTGTTTTATCTTAGAGTTCTCAATACAAAGAGTTGTTGCTCATTATTTGTATTAGAGACTTTGTTTGTCACTGTTGTGTTAATCTTCTTTTTAAAAACAAATATTGTAAACACAGTTGATTGTAATTCTTTTTATAATTGATTATTTTCTCAAGTGACTAGGTTGTTAGTCTGAGACTTGAGAGGGCTAAGGTGTCAGTTTGGACTCTTAGATGATTGTGGTTAGTCATCGGCGAGTAGCCTTTGCATTTGTATTCTGTTGAGATTAGTGGATTAAGTCTTTGTTGAAGGCAAAATCACCTTGGCAGATGGACAAGAGTAGCCTTGTTAAAGGTGAACATGTATAAATCAAAAGAGTCACTTTATTCTTTTCTAAGTCATTTATTTATAGTTAGTTTGCGAAATATTTTTAGAGAAAAAGTTTATTAGAAAACCCAATTCAAACCCCCGCTTTCTTGTTTTTTTCTCACCCTTCAGACTGTACATGTTGGCAATGTATCATGATGTTTTTTTTTTCTTTTTCTGTGAATAATTCCCTGTAATTGCTTCTAATTTTGTGTTTAAGTGTCCACTTTGATGTAAATATGAGTTGAGTTTGTATTGAGTGAAGTATGATGCTTGAACTAATATTGCTTTCATGAATGTTTTGGTTTTTTTTAATGCTTGATATGCTTTTTGAAGTTTTATGGTTCATTGAACATGTACATGGTGTATGTTGGATATTCGGTGTGGTGATTGATTGTTCATGACTGATGCTACCAGTTTTATGCAGGGTATGGAATGGAAAATTATGGCCTTGGAAATTAATTTAACATGGCATGATAATTGAGGGTAACATGATGGATGAAGAGGGAAATAAGGAGAATTTCCAAGTGATCATTCATTGTTTGAATTTGAAGCAAGGTGGCGGTATTGAAGAAAGATGAAGGATATTTAGAACTTTAGGTTTTTACTCTTTGTATTTAAAAAGGGATGTAATATATTAGTTGTTGAATGTAATAAAAATTTTATTGGGAATTATTTGAACATGTAAGGAAATTGGCCAAAATTGTACCCTTGAACATTGCTTGAATCAAGTTTGAATGATTCTACCTCTTTCTTAATCTTGTTTGAGTTTTCAGATGTTGTTTCTCGAAGTTCTCTTAGCTTTTTGTTTATGCATCACAATTTTGTAGTCTTGAGTTCATGGCCTATGCTGGATCAAATTACACAATTATATTAAAATATTAATATTATATCACTCTTTTTTTTTCATTTATTTTATTTCTTTTATTGCAATTATTTTAGAATAAGGATTATATGCATCACTCCTTATTCCTCTAACACTCCAACCAGAAGTGTGATGTTTTATTCTTCAAATTACATCAGCATTTGATTAAAATTCCTATAGATGTATGTGATTTTATCATATCAAAATATTACTATATTACTATACTCATATTTCCATCTATATTATACCACTCTTTTTTTCCATTTATCATACTTCTTTTATTGCATTTATTTCTTCATGTGCATCACTCCTTACATCTCTAACACTCCAACAAGAAGTAGAAGTGTGATGCTTTATCCTCTAAATTACTCTACATTACCTCAGCACCAGTAACAAAGTTCCCATCCACACGAAGATCAAGACCAGTAACAAAGTCAGACTCATTAGATGCCAAAAACAACACTGCATCTGCCACATTTTTAGTCCTTAAAACCACTCCTTTCAACATCGAGTTTTTTGAAAAAACCTCTTCCACCGTCTTTGCATCTGCGCCTAGCATTTTCTCAGTCAGTGGTGTTGCTAATCCATTTGGCGACACAGAATTCACTCTTATCCCGTATTTTGCAAGCTGCACACTCGCTGACCGCATTAACCCTATTACTGCATGCTTTGACATTGAGTAATCTGTCGCCCTCCCGGTACCATAGCTACCAGCTATACTCGCCGTGCACACAATGCTACCCCTCACCTTAGCCTCCACCATCGCACGCGCCGCGTATTTTACACACAATGCTGTTCCTATAGCATTAGTTGCAAACACACCGTTAGCTTGAGAAACGTCGAATTCCAACAAGGTTTGATCAGTTGTACTCCCAATCCCAGCATTGCAATGCATAATATCTATCTGCGGAGAATAAGAAAGGAAAAAAAATCAACTTATTTGTAGAAAATATTTGTCAATTTTTTTTATAAAATATATTTATACTTACTTGTCCATAAGTGTTGATAGTTGATTGAACAAGATTTTTGACATCATCTTCAATTCTAATATCACAATGAATAAATGTGCACTTATCAGTGCCAATAGATTCAGCCACTTGAATTCCCAACTCGTCTTGAATATCAGCAATCACCACCATTCGTGCACCTTGTTTCACAAAGACATGTGTTGTCTCTTTGCCGATACCGCTGGCACCTCCGGTGACTATGGCTACTTTGCCGGCTAACCTAAGACCACTTTTGGTTGATGAAGATTCTGCCATTTTTTATGTATAGAAAATGAATGCTCACTAGCCTTTTATACTAATGTGACGTGATGGAAGAGAATAAGTCATGTTAAACTTTTTTGATTGGGTTGACATTCATGAATTTAATATTCGTTTCAATCACGGAAGTGTAGTTAGATTGTAAATGTTTTAATATAGTATAAATATTTTAAAATACTAGTTTTATTTTAATTGTATTTATTCACAATATATATAAGTTGTAGATTTAGTTCAATGCCTCTTTTATTAAGGTTTTTTAAACTTAATATAATATGATTATAAGTTTTTTGTTATAATTTTTTTTATAAAAAATTACTTTAAAAATATTTTCTCAAAAAAATATTTTTAAATATTTTATTATATTGCTATAATTTTGTTTTAGATATCAAAAACTAAAAAATATTATTAAAATTTAAAGTTTTTGTAAATAGTTTTCAAGAAAAGAAATTGAGATTTTATTTTAAATTATGCAATTTGTATTTTATAATTGTTTTAATAATTATCATATAATTAATTATTATTTAAATTATTTTTTCAATTTTATAAAATAAATTTGTTATAAGTTCTACTATTTTGAAATATATATATATATATATATATATATATATATATATATATATATATATATATATATATATATATATATATATATATATATATATATATATATATATATATATATATATATATATATATATATATATAAGAGATACAAACGGAAGAGATATAAACGGGCAACAAACCGCAATGTTATCTCTTTTTGCATGACAAAATCAATCATCTTAAAAATCACTTTCATTCACTACAAAAAAGTTTGTTTAGCAATGGGGTATTTTTCAGGTGAAAACCTTCTCACTAAATGTATACGTTGCTTAGGGTTTATCCTCATGCAACACATACAAAAACAAAATCAAAAAATGAAACCATGTGAAGGATACCCCTCACAAATTAGAAGGAGCGATTTTTAAAATTTTGAAATTGAGCATTGCGAGGGGTCACCCAACGGACAGAGAAAATAGTGTCATTAAAAGCGTACATCTGTGAGGGGCAACCCCTAGCCACAAATAACCATTGTAGTTGTTAGGGGCATCCCATCGCGCCTTTTGAGATTCCCTCTGTGTCATGTCACATCACTGCTTTATGCTCAACATTTGTGAGGGCTTTAACTCCTGGCTAAACGGGCTTTTTCTTGTAGTGATTGTCCTAGGAGACATAACATTGTTATGTATGAACCTTGGCACTCTTTGTAAAAGATCAACAACTTCTAATGCTAAAAAACCAAAAATGTCAAAGACAAACTGTATGAAAGTATATTGATTGTCAGAATATGCTTTCTCATGCTTGGCTATTTTACTTGAACCGGCTTTGAGAGATGTCTTTCCTACAGTAAAACCTCTAGTCCTCAGTCCCACCGGTGACGAAACCCCAATCAGATTTACACATACATGTTTCCCTCCTAATCATCTTTATTTATAATTAGTAATTAACAATAAATTTTATGTCCACTTAAAAATATTGATGATACATAAATTTTAATTTGTGAGATTTTGGATCGAACTCTAGTATCTCGACAGGGATATCTTCTTGGTTCGACAAAGTTTTAGCATGTTGTCGAAGTCTGTTCACATTTTTGATGTCGAAGTCTTGCATGTTGTAGTCGAAAGCATGCAGTAATTGATAATGCTAGGTTTGTTAGCATATCAAATTAGGATTGTTTGTTTGTCTCAATTGTTTAAGTTAGCTTGTAGCCTAAGTTAGTTTAATAGTCTATAAATAAACTAGTTTTCTCATGTTATTGAGAGAGGTTCATTGTTGTTATTCACTTGGTTAATCATAATAGAGAAAGTGAATAGAAAAACAGTTACAATCAATCCTAATTTTTTCTTCTTCTTTCCTTTTCCCTCTCATTCATGAAAACCTAATAAGGTTTCTTGTGTTAGTTCAAGAAACTCAATATTTCTCATAGTTTTAGTTTGTTCTTGACGGAACTCTATTACAATAAACTGGTGTGGTAAGCATGGAGAAGAAGATGTTGTAAACAAAGTATGGGATTGAGAAATTCATCAGTGTGAACGATTTCGATTTGTGGCGATTGAAGATGCATGCTCTACTAGTTCAGTAGGGTTTGCTGGAAGCGTTGAAGGGAGACAAAGCCATGGATGATGCGCTAACAGAGAAGGAGAAAACGACAATGGTAGAGAAAGCCCACAACACCGTCGTATTGATCCTTGGTGATAAGGTTCTCTGATAGGTGTCGAGGGAGAAAATGGCGATGGGTGTATGGTTAAAACTCGAAAGTTTGTACATGACCAAATTGTTGATCAATCGCCTCTACCTGAAGCAGGCTCTATATTCATTTAATATGAGTGAATATAGAGTCTTAATGGAGCAATTGGATATATTCAACAAGTTGATTCTTGATATGGAGAATATCAAGGTTAGTATAAGTCATGAAGATCAAGTGATTTCGTTGTTGTGTTCTTTACCTAAGTCTCATACTCACTTCAAAGAAAATCTCTTGTATGGAATATATTTGTTGACCTTTGAAGAAGTTCAATATTCCTTGTACTCTAAGGAATTAAACAAACGAAAGGAGCATAAGCCACATCTGTTGGTGAAGGTTTATCCGTCAAGGGGAAATTCTTGAAGAAATATGGTAGGTTTGAGAAGAAGAAGGGTAAAGGTCAATATAAATTTTATGATGGTGATACTTCTGCAATTAGGTGTTATCACTATAAGAAAGGGGTCACACACGAAAGGTGTTCAAGGGTTGACAAAGCAATCATGGTGTGAAGGACAATGGTAACACAACCATTATGCAAGATGATTTTGAATCATATGATATTCTTGTGGTTTCAAGCACCGATTATAGAAATGAATGGATCATGGATTCAAGTTGCACTTGGCATATGACTCCAAACAGAGATGTGTTTGAGGAATTATGTGATCAAGATGATGAATCAGTGTTGTTGGGAAACAAAAAAATCCCACAACATTGCATATATTAGATCTATAAGATTCAAGCTCCATGATGAGTCAATAAGGTTATTGATTGGTGTCAAGTATGTAGCGGATCTGAAGAGAAATTTTATTTCTCTTGGTGAATTCAAAAAGAAGGGATATGTTTTCAAAGGAGAGCAAGGCATCCTAAGAGTAATGAAGTGTTCGAAGGAAGTCTTGAGAGGCATCAAAAGGAAATGAATGTATACCCTTGAGGATGATGTTATAAGTGGTTTAGTAGATGTGGTATCCACAATGTAACACCCTATTTCCTCGTCGAATAATTGAAAATCAAAGTAAATAAAAATTTCTAATCATTATCAAAATAGGATGCCACATTTCACCATCTTAAAATTTTTTCTCAAACATTAACAAAAGGATACATAACACATTATTTTCGGATGAATCGTCATCATAATCACCATGGTATTCAACTTCACCTTATTAATGCAATGAAAACAATCCAAATATAATTGGTTTACAACTTAAACAATCCACAAAGCAATATTTATCAAATAACATGAAATAAAAGAGTTATTCTACTCTCGTGGTTTTTCAAAGACAACAATGACTAAATAGGAAAAACAACGTTCATCCCCGGTGTTATGTATCAGAGAAAGACCCGACTCGACCAACGCAATTACGAGGTGCAACTTCATACCTCACGCAACTTTAAACTTCGTCACCTGCGTGTTGCCCACGAAGAGGCAACATTCAAAACAGAAGGGGTGAGATATCACAACCATATAATAAGTTATATAATAATAAGTATGCGACAAATATATCATGTGAGATTCCAAGCTCAACAATTATCAATTATAATTCATAATAATTATAAGTACATACATAATTATCGCCAATCATCATATAACATATACCAATTATGCAACTCAACATCATCATTGTATCAACAATTTGACAATATGCAATTCAACATCATCCTCATCATCATGATAAAAATTAAAAAATATGCAATGCGACTTCATCATTGTATTAACAATTCAATAATATGGAATTCAACATCATCATCATGTTAACAATTTAAAAATATGCAATACTACTTCATCATCGTATTACCAATTCAACTATATGCAATGCGACTTCATCATGATATTAACAATTCAACAATATGCAATGCAACTGAAATTGATGAAAAATGCATGTGGTACCATAACAACGTCTCTTTTCCATTTAGGCTACATTGTCACTTGCCAATAAGGCTACACTGTCACTTACCATTAAGGTTACACCGTTACTTGCCATTAAGGCCACATCGTCACTTATGAACATGCATGCAACACTAACATGTTATGACAATAAGTGCAACGGCACAATACACATAAAAAAACAAGCCAATATAGCTCGTAAATCACACATCATTGTTCATACATCGTCACAAGTCACTACGTCATGAAATTTCTTCTTATTCATCATCATATTCACAACTTCGCAATTACAACAAGACATCGGAATAAAACAAAGTCCAGGTAATCATCTCATATTGTGTTCAAATCATTTTTATTGAATAAAAAATATTTTTAGCTTTCCAACGGTCCAAATGGTGCATCAAACGAACACCCGAGTCAAAAGTTATGAAGTTTTCAAGTTTTAAAAAACGTTGTCAAACAGTGAGCAGTCGATTTCACTAACAGAGCAATCTATTGCATCGTGTCCCAGAGGCCAAAAATCACATTTTTAAGCAGTGACATAGATTTCTCTTCTGTTGCAATTAATTGCTTACTGAAACAAAAGCAAAAATCCCAATTTTTAAGCAGTGCAATCGATTGCTCTTCAGCTGCAATCGATTGCTTACTGAAATAAAAGAAAAAATTCACCAAAATTGAAATGTGCAATCGATTGCACCTACACTGCAATCGATTGCACCATGTGAAAAACAACTTTACGAATTCTGTAAAGTGAAGTACGAAAACCCTTTTGTCTCAATTCCAAAAAAAAAAAACTTCATGAAATAATGCACAATCAAACATCCAATTATC